GGCCCAAAGTCTATTATTGGTATTCCCTGGGGACTTCGTTGCTCTGTTCCCCTTGATGTTCTGTTGCACACTTTTAGTGTTTTGCCTTGGTGTGGTGGGGTCAGACAGGGTGCAATTCCCACATTGTGTCTCCAGTGTTGTCCCCTGTAGGGCTACGGGTCAGTAAGGGATGTCGCGTCTCATAGAGGGGCCGGCCCCATGGTCCTCTCTGTGCATTGACTGCTCTGAGCACCAATATCGTCCTCAAGGCTTGGTGGGCCAGGATGTGCTCCACTCTCTCTTCCTCCCCCTTCATTTGCTCCCTGTGCTCTCATCAGACATGCCCCTCTCTCCGAGCTGCAGCTTCAGTGCTGTCCTCTGAAATAAAATCTTCTGGGGGGAGGGGCAGGTGTCCATGTTGTTGGTATTGGGGGCAGCCCTTCAGACCTCTCCCCTGGTTCCCTGCTCCATGCTGGTATGTTGCACTGAGTTACCTCCTCAGATTTTTAAAACACAAAAATACAGCTTTGAAGTGTAAGGTGTACTTGGCCCATGCCACCGTATTTTCAGTTGTGTCATAGGCATGTGAAAATTAGGAACAACGATTATCGAAGAAAAATTGATGCCTTTGAATTATGGAAAATGCATTATTGAATTTTCCCAAAGAATATAAATGAACAAATTTGTCATGGAAGATATATAGCCAGAATCTTCCTTTGGAAATGAGGAAGACATTTGGACATTTTTTTCAGGAGGGACCAGTCAGTTGAGGAAGACACTGTGTTTGGAAGTGAAAGAGAAGACTGATATACTGGCTGCAACAACAGACTCACACGAAGCAACTACTGTGTGTGAATGGTGGCTCAGGACCAGGCAATATTTTATTCTGTTGTACATGAGTGGGAACAACTGGACACCTAACAATACCTAACAACACCTAACAACAACAACAAGTGATAGGTAGTGGCAGCTAGTAAGGTTAGAAAAGTTATCGAGAAGGACCTCATACATAAATTTGGATTTGTTTTCATGCAGTTAATAACTAGGAAGGCAGTGGATTTCTTTTGATAGGAGAATGATCTGTTCAGGCTTGGTTTTGTTTTGTTTTGCTTTTTGGTGAGTGTGTGAAAGAAAATATAAGTGGCTTTAAACAATATGACCTATCTTAGGATGTCTTAAGGAGAGTGGAAACATGAATCACTGAGGAGAATTTTAGAGTAATCTGATGGAGAACTGAAGGTTAATATTAAAGCACATATTTGTTATAACCATTCCATGAACAACACAATCTGTAGAATAAATTATTTCTGCTAGTAGAAATAATTCTTTGTAATCCCTTTCCTGTGTTTCTAGGTTTGAAGTCCTGAGTTTTCTCATGCTGTGCTATAACTCTGCTATTGTGTATATGCCTGCTTCATCTTACCAGTCTCTTTGTCGGATGGGCTCCAGGTGAGGAGAGAAACTATCTTTAACCTCCATATTGATTAAGCTATTTAACCAAAAAAATGTAAGCACATTATGTACTCCAGGCTCTGTCCTAACTTCTGGTGACTCAGTGGTAGACTTCTTGAAAAACTTAAATATTAAAAAGGTAGCTTCGTAAAGTTCATGGAAAAATGGAATTAAAAGATGAGGCAATTTTCCCACAAGGATTTTTGATGTTCCGTTGTATTTTCTAGCTCATCATTGAGTTAGGGCAAGACATTATTGTTTAGGGTTGTTTATAATTTGCATGAAGAAGACCTAGTGGCATAAAAGCTAATCACTTTACTGTTAACTGCAGCATTGATGGTTCAAACCCTGCTGCTCCATGGGCGAGATGTAGCAGTCTGTTTTCTTAGGATTTGAAACCTTGGAAACTCTATTACGCAGTTTTAGTATGCATCAGCTAGAGATGGTAATGGGTTATAATGCACCTACCAGGCAGTCCTCAAACTATGTCCCGCGGACCACATGTGACCCGCCGAGGACATTTATCCGGCTTGCTGGGTGTTTTTGCCCCATTTGTTTTTTTACTTCAAAATAAGATATGTGCAGTATGCATAGGAATTTGTTCATAGTTTTTTTTTTAGACTATAATCCGGCCCTCCGATGGATTTGAGGGACAGTGAACAGGACCCCTGACCTAAACATTCCTTGGATATATATTTTGTAAATCACTGAGATTTACATAATTATTCACGTAGAGACAGTATTAAGGCATGCAAATCTTTTTTCTCAGTTACCTTTAAACTTTTACTGTGAATTGGGTAAAAGTTTATAGAGCAAACCCAGTTTCCTCTGCTAAGTTTGGCAGTGGTTTATTTTGTTAATCTTTTCAAAGAACCCGTTTTGGGTTTTTTTTAAAATCATTTTATTGGGGGCTTGTACAACTCTTATCACAATCCATACATCCATCCTTTGTGTCAAGCACATTTCTACATTTGTTGCCATCAACATTTTCAACATTTTCTTTCTACTTGAGCCCTTGGTATCAGCTTCTCATTTTCCCCCTCCCTCCTCCACCCTACCTCCCTCATGAACCCTTGATAATTTATAAATTATTATTTTGTCATACCTTGCCCTGTCTGACGTCTCCCTTCACCCACTTTTCTGTTGTCCGTCCCCCAGGGAGGAGGTCACATGTAGATCCTTGTAATCGGTTCCCCCTTT